CATGAGTCCTGCTGCTCTTGCTCGACGGTGCTTGCCACGATTCTCTCGGTGCACGGCACTGTTGGTGCTGGCTCCGGTGGAAGCGCGTGGTGAATCAGGCGGATGGAAGGGGTGGGAGGAAGGAGGAGGAGGAGGAGGAAGGTTGGAGAACATCGGCACGTCCGTCGTCACTTCACTGCTTGCTTCGTAGCGGGGCTCCTTCCTTTGCATTCAAAATCACACCATGCACAATCAAGGTATCATCGACCAGCAGCAGCGAGTTCCAGGTGCTCGAATTCACCTCCTGCTCCTGCTCCTGCTCACTTCTTCCTCCTCTTTTGCCCCGCCGATGGGCGGCGCAGTCTTCTTTGTATCATGCTCGCTTCCGTTTCACGACAGTGCTATGAACTGGTGTTCTGGGCAGTCGACTTGACAGCCGACATTCGGGTAAAAAGGCGGGGCAGCACACTCCTTCGAGAAGTCGGAGGAGCAGCAGCAGTAGGAGAAGGAGGAGGAGCAGGAGGAGGATATAGTCTCTCAAACTTGCGGCCGAGTTCCTGTTCCCGTCCGATATTGTGCACAGTTGTCGGACTCGTTGCACCCACCAGTCTGATCAACCTCATTGCCCATCCCTCTCCGCTGCGCCCGCTTCTGCCTCCTTTCCCTACTCCTACTACTTCTTCTCCCGCCAGTGCATGGCAGCATCGGCTCGCTGCCCGCCCTGAGCGAACTTGGCCTGGGCAGCGACGCTACCAAGGAAGTCTGGATAGCGACGCCGTGATGGGAATTCTCAGTTCACCGACTCCCGCGCAGACCAGCTTTTCGAATCCCGCTCCACCCCGGTCCCGACTCCAGCTCCGGCTCCGGCTCCTGGTCCGACGGAACTTGCGGCTCCGGCTCTGGACCCATGTCCGCATCCCGCCTCGACCCCGACTCTTGCGCTCAACCCTGCTTCGACTGCAGCCCCGACTCCAGCTCCAGCCCCCCTCCCGACGCCACTCCCAGCTCCGACCCCAACGCCGACTCCGGCGCCAGATCTGGCAGGTAACAACCCCGACGACGCATTCTTCGATGCCTCATCCCCCTCCTCCTCCTCCTCCTCCTCCTCCCCCCTCCTCCTCCTCCCTCCTCCTCCTCCTCCTCCCCTCCTCCTCCTCCTCTCCTCCTCCTCCTCCTCCTCCTCCTCCTCCTCCTCCTCCCCCTCCTCCTCCTCCTCCTCCTCCTCCTCCTCTCCTCCTCCTCCTCCTCCTCCTCCTCCTCCTCCTCCTCCTCCGCCTCCTCCTCCTCCTCCTCCTCCTCTCCTCCTCCTCCTCCTCCCTCCTCCTCCTCCTCCTCCTCCTCCCCTCAGCTCCGTCCCCGACACCGCCGCCGACTCCAGCTCGCGCTCCGGCGCCTGCTCCTGCCTCGCCTCCGGCTCTTGCTGCGACTCCAGCTCCGGCTGTGCTCCCGACGCCTGCTCCGGCCCCGACAGAGATTGCGTCCACTCCTCCTCCTCCTCGTCGATCCTCCGCCTCCTCCTCCTCCTCCTCCTCCTCCTCCTCCTCCCCTCCTCCTCCTCCTCCTCCTCCTCCTCCTCCTCTCTCCTCCTCCTCCTCTCCTCCTCCTCCCTCCTCCTCCTCCTCCTCCTCCTCCTCCTCCTCCTCCTCCTCCTCCTCCTCCTCCTCCTCCTCCCCATCCCTCTCCTCCTCCCTTTCTTCCCATCCCTTCCCTCCCCTCCCCCCCCTGCGTGCCTGGCCCGTGCGCTGCGAAGTGGCACCCGAATGTAGGGGACTATGTGGCAGACAGATCTCAGAACGACCGCGTCTGCTTCTCCACCTGTTCGGCCCCAGGCATGCCCCGGGGGCCTGGCGCGGAGTGCCGTGGGCGGCCACTGCTGTGCGCCTCCCCTTTGTTGCTTCTCTCCCCTCGTCATTCTGTTCCTGCACCGTCTTTGTGGAGCCGTCCAGCCCACTGTTGTGCGCACCCTGTCCTCCCCGCCCCTGCTCGGCAGGGTTCGGGCTGGCATCGCAGCGCACGCCCTGCCACAACCAGTATTGCCGTTCGCTGCTCTCGCTGCTCCTGAACTTCTAGATTACTCGTGTGGGACCCACAGGTTGGTCTGCGCACGCGCGAGTTCTTCCCCCTTCTCTCCTCCTCTCCTCGTTTCCTCCTTCTCCTCTTCCTCCTCGTCCTCTGTACTTGATCGCATGATGCTGTGTTGGATGTACTAGAGTGGCCGTTGGGGTCACCTCGTAGGGGTGTTACACAGCCCTGTGCCGCCGGGCCGGTACGTTTCTTGGGGGGTTCGTGTCATTCGCCGTCTGGGTTTTTCTGTCCTCCGCGCGCGTGGTCAGGAACAAATCGGCCTTCAAGTGCAACCGCTCCGCTGGAGCCTTTGCTTCGTGTACATGTAGCTGCAACAAGCTTTCGTAGTAGCCGGCATTCGTGTTGCGACAGTGGCGGCTGAAGCATGTTTTGAATTGGACGCTGGCTAAGAGAAAAGACATGAACGACTCACGAATCGCAATCTCGCCTGAGACTCCTCCACGCTTTACTCCCGAACCGCGGCGGTCCCGCCGGTCAGGATTCGCACTCTTGCCTGAGACTCATGTATTTTTGATCCAGGGGTTGTGCTCTTGCCGCGGACCCCATCCGTATTCCCTCCCTCTCCTCCATCCCTCCTTCCTCCCTTCCTCCTCCCTTCCTCCCTGCCTCACGCATCCCGCCTTTCTCTTCCCATTCGAAGGTCCACCTTCTGCATTCTGACGTATCCTCTTAAGCTGTCGAGTTTTATTTTGCTGCAGCGATGGAAAAAACAAGCTCCCCGAAAGGGGATACGTTCATAGGTTCACTAGTTGGGCACGAGGGGAGGTGGGAAACACAAAAAGGTCAAAGCATCTTGCAATATCATACACTTATGAGTTTTATGAATGTTGAGTTCCCCACCAGAGACTGTTGTTTTTTTATTGATTGAAGCGTCCCCAGGGAAAGTCTTCCAGATCAAATTGCATTGTTGAGCCCAGGACTACAACAGCGGCTCCCCCTGAAAGTCACACAACTGATTCAGGAATCGCCCTCTCGCTGGAGACATTCGAGACTTCCTTGCGATGTACTGCATAAGTGTGCTCTCGCCGAGGACTTCCTCACACTGTTCTAAGGAATTTCTCTGTCGGCTTTCAGGGATCGCGATATCGTTTGGGGGTGCCACGCAAGTTATGCACGACTCGCGCTCTCGTTTGGGACGTCCGCTCACCTTGCGCCAGATTTGCGCTCTCGCCATGGACTTCTACACACTTCACTTAGATGTCGCGCCCTACAGTGAGCGGCTTGAGTAAGGAACACTTCCTTTTCAAAAGGGGTTCGGTCGTTCCTTAAGGCTTGCATGCGTTACGTATCCTTCCTTATGCGTTCTTTATTATTATCGTTCCTTATGCTTTTTTCCTTGGAAAACAGGGGCTTCGATCCTTATTTATCGTTCCTTAGGTCAGGCCGATGACTGTAGTAAATCAGGAATCGCGCGCTCGCCTGGGACTTCCTCGCCTCCCGCCCGCTTGAATGCCCCGCCGGGCCGACCTGCCCGTTCGGGTCCACCCGCCGGGCCTGTCCGTCAGGGCCCGCCCGCCCGGCCCGCCTGTTACAGGTCGGCGTGCCCGACCCGCCCGTTCGGGCCCGCCCGCCCGGCTCCCGCCAGGGTCCACCCGGCCCGTCCGCTTGCTGTCCAGCGCGCCCGCTTCAAAGCCCGCCCGCCCGTCCGCTTGCAGGTCTCGCCCACGCCTGCCCGTCAGGGCCCGCCCCCCCCGACGCGCCCGCTGGGGACTCGCCCGCCCGACCCGTCCGTTGGTGCTCGCCCGCCCGACCCATTCGTCCCACTCTTTCAGGAGTTACGCCGGAGCTGGCATGAAGGAAAAGAGTCCCCCAAAGGGGGTGCGCTCGTAGATGGCGAGGGCGGGAGTCGAGGGCGTGGGGTGTCCTTGTTGTACCGGCACGCGAGCAGGCAAGAGCGAACATTATTCAAAATTAGGCGTTTTGCTGCTGCTCCACATCATCATCGTCATCAGCATCGATCGTCGATCATCGTCATCATCATCATCATCGTCATCATCATTATCATCATCATCATCGTCATCGTCATCATCGTCATCATCGTCAGCATCATCAGCATCATCATCGTCATCATCATCATGATAGCATCATCAGCATCATCACCGTCGTCGACATAATCATCCTTATCACCATCATCATCATACTCATCATCATCATAACCAGCATCATCAGCAGCATCATCAGCATCATCATCAGCATCGTCATAATCAGCATCAGCATCATAATCAGTATCATCATCATTATCATCATCATCATCCGCATCGTCACCATCAGCATCAGCATCCTTATATGTATCATTATCTTTATTATCCTTCTAGTCAGCATCATCATCATCATCATCATTATCATCAGCATCATCATCAGCAGCATCATCAGCGTCATAAACATCATCATCAGCATCAGCATCATTACCATCACTACCACCATCGTCATCATCATCAGCATCATCATCGTCGTCGTCATAATCATCATCGTCAGCATGGACATCGGCATCATCATAATCACCACCATCATCGTCATCATTATTATTTTTTTCATCATCCTCATCCTTGTCCTCATCCTCATCATCGTCATCAGCATCATCATAACCGCCATCATCATCGCTGATCACTGACATTTACGAGAAGCTCTGCACGCACGCGCGTGAGCACTAATCTTATCACTACTTCACGCTCTGACGGACCGCCTGGCGATGGCAGCTGCGAGTCTAGTTCAGTAAGCACCCGGCTCCCCGCAGCCGGCACGGGCATTATTATTTGTATCATCCCCCCTCCTTCGCGACCACACCCGCCTCATCCTGCTCCTCCTCCTCATCCTCCTCCGTGTTCGCCTTTGCCTATGTATCTCTCCTACTCCTCCTCTTCCTCCCCCTCCTTTCTCGCGTCACTCTCCGACCCGCTCCACCCCCCTTGCAGTACCTTCTTCTCCTCCTCTGCCACAGCCGTTTTGGCTCAAGGCCCGGCCGTTTCAGGTGGGGTTGGGCCCTTGGTTGGCCAACTCGGTGCCACAGCCACGCCGCGGCGCTTCTCGCGATGAGGCTCAAGATCGGTCTTGAGGAGGAGCAGCGGAAGCGCAAACCCATCGTCCTATTCATCCTCGGTCCTCCTCCCCCGCTCCTCCGTTCCTTACAGTAGGTGTCCTGAAGAAGGAACCCATTTCGTTGGGGAGGGGCTCCGTGTTCCTTGAGTGTTTCGCAGCTTGCCTCAGGTTCTCCTTATGTTCTCGATGGGAAATCGAAGTTTAACTTGTGGAGAAAAGGGGTATCGTTCCTTATGTAGGGTTCCTTAGGTCAACGCCCCGACTGTAGCTCCTCCCACCCCTCCTCAGAGGAGCATCGGAAGCACACGTCTATCGTCACAGCCGTAGGCTACTACAAGACCGCGAAGCAGTACGAGGTTCAGGAGGGGGAAAAACACACAGACACAATGAATCGTCGCCTCCCAGGAAAATATGGGAAAATATGGGCAGTGGGGGGGAAGACAGAAACCCAGAAAATGTGGGAACATATGTTTTTTTAATTTGTGTGTATTTATTTGCGTGTCCCAGGGCCCCTTCAGAGGTGTTGTCTTGCAGCGACGACCAGTCTGTATGGAAGTGGCACGTGGAGGGCGCGCCCATCTCCAAGCTTTGCAATCTCGACTCGTACTGCACGGCCATGGCGTGGCTGCCCAACAACAGGGGGCCGGACAACACCTTCGCCCTGGGGTGTGCGGACGGCACGTTCCGGCTCATGAGCGACGCGGGCCGCGAGGAGAAGAAGGTGGACGCGCATAGGGGAGCCCTGATTTCCGTGAAATGGTCCTTCGACGGCTCCGCGATCGCCACGGCAGGCGAGGACGGATCGGTGAAGGTTTGGTCACGCAGCGGGATGCTCAGATCCACGCTCACGCAGATGCCACAGGCAGTGTATTCGGTGGTGTGGTCTCCAGACTGCGAGAGCCTCCTCTTCGCGTGCGGGTCCAAGATCCACCTGAAGTCGATCCAGGCCGGCCAGAAGCAGGTCGAGTGGAAAGCGCACGACGGCATTGTGCTGCAGCTCGACTGGTCCTTCGTGAACAACACGATCCTGTCCGCGGGCGAGGACTGCCGTTACAAGATCTGGGACTCCTATGGCCGGTTGCTCTTCAACAGCGCGCCCCTCGACCACGTTGTCACGTCCGTGGCCTGGTCGCCCACGGGCAAGCACTTCGCGGTGGGGTCCTACAACTTGGTGAAGCTGTGCGACCGCACGGGCTGGTCCTACTGCCGCGCGTCGCCCGAGACGGGGTCCATCTTCGCCATCTCGTGGTGCAACGACGGCACGCAGTTCGCGTGCGGCTGTGGCAACGGGTCCGTCGTCCTCGCCAGCCTCGTCGATCGTACGATATCCTGGCAGAACACCGACGTGACGCTGGACGAGAGCAACTCGATCACTGTGCACGACGTGCTGAGCGAGACTCGGGAGGATCTGGGAGACTTCAGGGACAGAGTGACGGACATGTCCCTCGCATACGGAGCCCTGGTTGTCACAACGAACACCCAGTGCTTCATCTACCAGCAGAGCAACTGGAACACGCCGCACGTCGAGGATCTCAAGGAACCGCCTACCCTAATCGTGCAGTGCCCATCCCACTTTGCGCTGGTCGATGCGACCGCCATCAAGGTGATCTCCTACGAGGGGCGCGTTATGTCCACCATCGCCTTCAGCGGCCTCCGCACCGAGTTCCTGAACCACCAGACACTCAGCATATGCAAGGACGCCGTGGCCCTCTGCGACCCATCCTCGCCGAAGCAGATCCGCGTCTTCGACGTCTACACGGGCCGCCCCATTGGGCAGCCCTTGCAGCACAAGCTTGACATCGTCCGCATCTCCTTGAGCCAGATGGGGTCCGGCTCGGACCGCAAGATCGCCATCCTGGACAAGAACAAGGACCTCTACCTCACCAAGGCCATGCAGGCGGATCGGACCGAGAAGCTGGGCAGCATGGCGGACAGCTTTATGTGGGGCGACTCTACTGACATGCTCATTGCCTTGATGGACGACAAGCTGGCCATCTTCATCTACCCAGCAGTCTGCTTCGTGGACAAGGACTTGCTGCCCAAGACCCTGGAAACCAAGATCTGCACAGACGCAGGCAAGCACGCCCAGATCGTAGCATTTACCGGTTCCCAGTGCACCATACGCAAGGCCGATGGTGCTGATCTAGTAATGACCACCATGCCTTACCCACAGCTGCTGTATCAGCACTACGAGAAGGGCCAATGGGAGCAGGCGGTGCGTCTCTGCCGATACGTCAAGTCGCCCAAGCTTTGGGCGTCGCTGGCGGCCATGGCCATCCAGTCACGCTCCCTCGAAACGGTGGAGATCGCACTCGCAGCTATCGAGGAGGTCGACAAGCTGCAGTTTGTCTCCCACATCGGCCGCCTCCCAGACGAGGTGCTTCGCTCCGCGGAGCTGGCCCTCTTCTGCAAGAGACCCGAGGAGGCGCTCAATATCCTGAAGCAGAACAAGCGCATCTACCGGGCGATCAAGATGAACATCCGCTTGCACCGTTGGAACGACGCGCTGGAGCTCGCGCTCAAGCACCAAACTCATGTCGACACCGTGCTTGCATATCGCCAGCAACACTTGGAGCAGATGAAGCACGTCGAGACGAACGAGCAATTCCAGTCGTGGTCGCAGCAGATCGCCGTCAATTGGGAGGACATCAAGATGAAGATCAAGAACGAGAAGGATATCGAGCTCAGGAACGCCAACGCAGATGGCGCCGACCAGCCGTGACGGCCAGGGGCAACACGCGTGTGCCCGGGCTTTCACAGTCGACGTGGCGGGGGAATTGGAGGACAGGGGGGGTTGTGCATGACACTTGGGTTGCATTATGCCCGAATCCTTGCCAGCCTTGTACTTCCAGGCTGCCTGTCTTCTTCTTTCTCGTCCTCCTCCCCCTCCTGCTCCCTTTTCTCATCTGGTCCTTTCTTTGACCTCGTGCTGCTGCTGCTGCTGCTCCTCTTTCTACTCTGTCTCCTGCTGCTCCGCCTCACCCCTCCTCCCATTCCTCTGCCTCCTCCTCCTCCTCCTTTTCCTCCTCCCCCCTTTCCTGCTCGGCCACCGCGAGCCGTGCCGACGGTCCTTGCGCTTCAGACACTGTTTTTGCAAGCATGTGGGTGTGCGGCGCGTGGCTGCAGGCGTCCTGGACGAGGGTTAAACATTCGATCAGGACGGCGTGGAAGCAACGAAGCGCAGACACGGGCGGGAAGGCGGAGGGTTGGTGCACAGAGGGAGGCGGGAGGAGGGAGGGCGGGGGGTGAGGTATGCGAAAGAGCAGCAGGACGAAGGATGTCGAGCGGAGCATTGCGCTGGAGTGCACAGGAGAGATGCGTGAGGAGAAGGAGGAGGAGAAGGAGGAGAAGGAGGAGGGGGATGCCGAGGCGGAAAGGAGAGGAGGAGGGGAGGAGGGAAACGGGATCAAGGTGTGGGAGCGATGAGGAGGAGGAGGAGGAGGAGGAGGAGGAGGAGGAGGAGGAGGCGGAGGCGGAGGAGGAGGAGGAGGAAGAGGAGGAGGAGGAGGGGGAGGAGGAGGAGGAGGAGGAGGAGGAGGAGGAGGAGGGCGTAGGAAGGGATGAGGGAGGATGCTCGGAGGCTGGCGGCCCAGCCGAGGTCCGCGGGGGGCCGCCGTCGGCCCGCGGACCTGGCGGGTCGCGGCGCCCCTCGCTCTGCGTCGCGGCGCCCGCGCTTGGCATCGCTCGGACGTGTGCATTTTTTTCCCGGCGACGGCCATCGAGGACCATCCTTGATCGTTTGGCGTAACACACACATACACACACACACGCACACACACACACACACACACACGCACACGCACACCCACGCACACCCACGCACACCCACGCACACCCACGCACACCCACGCACACCCGCGCACACCGTCGCACACCGTCGCACACCGTCGCACACGCGCACACGCGCACACGCGCACACGCGCACACACGCACACGCACACGCACACGCACACGCACGCGCACACGCACACGCACACGTACACGCACACGTACACGCACACGCACACGCACACGCACACGCACACGCACACGCACACGCACACGCACACGCACACGCACACGCACACGCACACGCACACGCACACGCACACGCACACGCACACGCACACGCACACGCACACGCACACGCACACGCACACGCACACGCACACGCACACGCACACGCACACGCACACGCACACGCACACGCACACGCACACGCACACGCACACGCACACGCACACGCACACGCACACGCACACGCACACGCACACGCACACTCACACGCACACGCACACGCACACGCACACTCACACGCACACGCACACGCACA